CGGGTCATTGTGTGGATGTATGTTTTCATTTCTCTTGGGTAAATGCCCAGGAGTGGGATTGCTGGGTCGTATGGTGGGTGTTTATAGGAAACTGCCAAACCATTTTCCACATTGGCTGCACCATTTTACATCCCACCAGTAATGTACGAGGGCTAAGAACATGGTTTTCATTTCTGTGTTTTGGTGGCATACGCATGTGTATTGTGGCGGCAGTATAATAGAATAGAATGCCACATATTCCTCAGTGTGCTTCGTGAGATGGTTTTAGGTAGCACGTGGATGAACTTTTTTTTACATTTTTTCCTTTTTAAAAATTTTTGTTTATTTTGTTGTCGTTGTTCAGAATATACACAGCAAATCATACACCAGTTTAACAGCCTCTGCATGTCCAGTTCAGTGACACTGATTACATTGTTCCAGTTGTGCAACCATTCTTACCCTCCTGTTCTGAGTTGTTCCTCCCTCATTAACAAAAACTCACTGTCCCCTAAGGTAAAAACCCATACCGAACCTGTTGCCGTCGAGTCGATTCCGACTCAAAGCGACCCTATAGGACAGAGTAGAACTGCCTCACAGGGTTTCCAAGGAGCAGCCAGTGGATTCGAACTGTTGACCTTTTGGTTAGCAGCCGAACACTTAACCACTGGTGCCACCAGGGCTCTCCCCTAAGGTAGTAATGACTGTATTTTAATGTGCATTAAAAAATGTATCCAGAACACCGAACCCATAATTTCTTGGACATTAATGACTAATGACTAATGACGCAGGCCCTGGAATCAGATTTTCCAGATTTGGCTCCTAGATCCCCTTCCAGCTGGCTGTGTGACCTTGGGAAAGTCACTTAATCTTTCTGAGGCTCAGCTTTGTCAGCTTCATCATGGGTAAAATGGGCTGATAGTATCCCTCCCTACCTCATAAGCTTGCTATAAGGATAAAATGGGAAAGTGTGTGTAAAACAATCCAGAGCCTGTCATGTGGAAATGCTTGGTAAATAAATGGCTGCCATTATCATTAGATGTTCCATGTGTGGTGGGTGTGTTTTATGTGTACTGTTTTGTGCATCCATGTGTACATGCATACATGTGTGTCTGCACTGTACATGTGTAAATGTGTGATTCATTGGGTCTGGCCCACATGATTACCTTCATGTGCTCACAGGTGTGTGTGTGCTCATGCATGTCTTTGTGAGACCACAGGTCTGGGTGTCTGGGTGCATCTTGTCCCTCCAGGGACCAGGGTCCCCCTACCCACCCACCCCTCCACCTCCTCTGCTATCAACCAGGGTGGCTGGGCCTATGCTACCCTTGACCCACCCTGACCCCCATCCAACCATGGAATTGGCAAAGGATCTGTACCTCTGGTAAGGGTTGGGCTTAGGGATTAGCCCAGGGGAATGGCCCTTCTTGGGCCTGGGTCTCTGACCTCTGGGTGTCTCCTCCACCATATTGACCCAGAGCCAGTGTTTCTTGGATCTTTGCTGAGGGCACCAGTGTCCCAGTGGGGCTGGGATGGGAAGAAGAAGAAGTGCTTTGAAGGGAGCTGAGGCCCTGCATTTGGTCCTCGGATTCTGGGTGAGTGCTGCGGAAGGGAGGCCCTAGAAGAGAGGCTATAATCAGCTGCTGGGGTCAGCAAGTTTTTAAACATCTGCTTTACTGAGGTGTAATTGATGTACACTGAACTGCACGTATTTAAAGAGTGCAATTTGATGAGTTTTGACGTGGACATACACCCATGAAACCACCACCACAATCGAGATATTGAACATATCCATCAACCCCAAACATTCCCTCATGTCCCTTTGTAATTCCTCCCTCTCCCCCCACCATTTTCAGGCAACACCAACCTGCTTTTTATAACTATAGCTTAGTTTGCATTTTCTAGAATTTGATAAATCTGGGGCAGGGTGTGAAGGAGAGGAAGGGGTTTTGAAGAGAACAGTTGGTCCATGGGTTGTTACTCTTTTTTTCTGGCTTCTCTCACTCAGCATGATTACTTTGAAATTTATCCACTTTGTTGTGCATATCAGTAGGTCATCCTTTTCACTGCTGAGTAGTAGTCAGTTGTATAAATGTTCCACAACTTGTCATCCATTTGCCCAGCAGGTATCTTTTTCCTTTATGCTTTCATTTGGAGCCCTGGTAGCACAGTGGTTAAGAGCTACAGCTGCTAACCAAAAGGTTGGCAGTTCAAATCCACCAGCAGCTCCTCAGAAACCCTATGGGGCAGTTCTACTCTGTCCTGTAGGGTCGCTATGAGTCAGAATCGACTTGTTGGCAATGGGCTTGGTTTTGGTTTTGGTTTTAGTTTATGTATCTCTACACAACGTGTAATGTTACTTTTCCCCAGCAGGTATTTTTGGGAAAGCAAGAGTCAAACTGTGTCTGAAGTTGGCTTAATTCCAACGGGCACCTTTCCTTGGGTAGCTAGTGCCACCCTTTGCCCTTTGCACCAAGTGTCCCCTTCCCTGGAATGATCTCCACTGCCCAGAGGCCCGTCTGCTTCTTCCAGGTAGCCTTCCCAGACTGTCTGGGTTTCCTCTGAGCAATTCCAGTCCTTACAGCGGGAAGGCTCTCCAGAGCCTCTGAGCACCGTTCAGTGGTTCCAGCTTTGTCTCCTTAGTAATACCAAGACTAGCTCCTCCTCATGCTGTGTCCACCCAGTGGGCCTGACCCACAGGAAGCTGCTCCAGAGAGGCCTGGAGGCCCATGGGCAGATTTCTGGCTGGCCCTGAGCTGTGGAGACTATGTCTGGGGCCCTTCTGGGAAGGAGGAAGCAAGGATGCAAAGTGATGCAAAGTGATGTAAACCAATGCAGACACAGCCTGGACAGGGTCCTGAGCAAGCCTGCTCCCAGGATCCCTCCCTCCCTTTCTCCTCCCTTCTTTTCTTCTGGTCTTCTTCCTTGGGAAACTCCCCACCCCCTTAGGGAGTAGAAGGCCTCTATGCCGTCTTGGCCTACCGAACTCTCTGCATTATTAAATTCCTGCCTCAGAATTGGAAACATCCCAGAAGATGTCTGTCACATTTTGTGGCTTTCTACTGCTCACCTATCCACCCCCATCCTCCATGATTCTCTTCCTTCAAGATGACAACACGGGCCGGGGGCTTCCCTTCCTGGTAGACAGGACACAGATCTTGGGGAAGAAGTAAACACCTCCCCACCTAGGCCCTCAGCCCCCGAGACTGTGTATTAAAGCTGCCAGTTCTGTTGATATACCTTAGAGCCACAGGGCAGAGGCCAACCATTGTGCTAGAGAGGGGAAGTGACATCCCCAAGGTCACACAGCCAGTTAGTGACAGATGCAAGCCAACCAACACCCAGTCCAGTGTTCTTTTCCTTCCCTGCTCTCTCTCCTGGATGCCAACTGCATGCATTTGTAAAGCGCCTTCTCCTGAATCAAGACCCGTACTCTATCCCATTTTGGGATGTGGTAGAGCTATCTGGGGAGTCCCTGGGTGGTGCAAACGGTAATGCGCTCAGCTGCTAACCCAAAGGTTGGAGGTTTGCGTCCACCCAGAAGTGCTTTGGAAGAAAGGCCTAGTGATCTACTTCTGAAAAATCAGCCATCGAAAACCCTGTGGAGCACATTTCTACTTTGACATATACAGGGTCTCCATGAGTCAGAATTGACTCAGCGGCAACTGGTAGAGCTGTCTGCAGAGAAGACACTGTGTCCCTCCAGCCAGGAGTGCTTGAGACAAATCTAAGTTTCCACGTAGGAAGTCTGGGTGAAGCGGAACCCACCTGAGTCCAAGATGGTGCAGGCACAGGCAGTGTACAGCAAGAAGGCAGCCTAGGGGTGGAGGAAGGAGGGCGTGGTTCTGGGGCTGGTGCTGCAGAAACTGCCCCACCTACCTTCCTGGTATCCAATGGCAACCCCAAGGTCGTATGTCCACTGAGGCGAGCCTTGTCAGCCCAGCTCCAGTGCCTCTTCCTCTAGGAAGCCTTCCTGAGAAGTGACCTGCCTGTAGTTCCTTTGGCACTTATCACTGTCTGCATTTTTTCTTTTTTAAATAATGTTTTTATTGTGTTTCAGTGAAGGTTTACACAGCATTAGGTTCCCACTCAACTATTTCTACACAAGTTATTCAGTGACATTGGTTACGTTTTTCACAATGCGTGAACATTCTCATTATTTTCGTTGTTCTGTTTCCATTAAATCCCTGTCTGCTTTTTTTGGTAGTGTGATTCTGTCCATGCCTTATCTCTCTTCCTGAACTGTTGGCATCTTGAGAACAGGATCCATGTTATGTTTTGTACCTGTATCTCCAGTGCCTAGGACAGGACCTGGTATTCAGCAGATATATAATGAATATTTGTTGAATAAAATAAGTGAATAAATAAATGATGGTGGTAGTGAGTGACAGTGAATGGCGGTGGATAGTGGTAGTAAATTGTGATTTATTATGATGATGGTGCTGGGAGGTAATGGGTGAAAGATGGTGGTGGTGGCTGATGGCTGTAGGAGGTGATAGGTGAAGGATGGTGGTAGATGGTGGTGATTGGAAGTGGTGAATGAAGGAGGATGGTAGGTGGTGGTGGTGGGAGGTGGTGGGTGAAGGATGTGGTAGATGGTGGTGGTGGGAGGTGGTGGGTGAAGGACGTGGTAGATGGTGGTGGTGGGAGGTGGTGGGTGAAGGATATGGTAGATGGTGGTGATTGGAAGTGATGGGTGAAGGATGATAGTAGATGGAGGTTCTGGGAGGTGGTGGGTAAAGGATAATGGTAGATGAAGATACTGGGAGGTGATGGGTGCAGGTGATGGTAGATGGTGGTGTTTAATAAACAATAGTTGATGGTCAAGTGGGAAATAGCAATATATGGTAGCAGGAGAAGGATGTTAGTAAAAGGTGGCAGTCATGGTGGGGGCAATAATGGTATAAATAGTGGACAGTGGGGCAACTTCTGCTTACGCCCCTGCCCTCTGCCCTTCCCGAGGGGGACCTGGCCCAGTTCTTGGACCTGTCAAGTTCTCTAACACTGTGGCTTATTTTTTGCAGACTCCATCGGGGGCCCCTTCCCTGTCACCTCCCACCGATGCCACCACAAGCAGAAGCATTGCCCACCGGTGCTGTCCAGTGGGGGGCTCCCAGCCACACCACTGCTCTTCCACCCACACACCAAGGGCTCTCAGATCCTCATGGACCTCAGCCACAAAGCAGTCAAGAGGCAGGCCAGCTTCTGCAATGCCATCACCTTCAGTAACCGCCCGGTCCTCATCTACGAGCAAGTCAGGCTGAAGGTGGGCCCTCCTCCCTGCTGTCCATCACTGCCCTCCCCTGGGCCTCTGAGCTGTCTCCCTCATCACTGCCTTCTGTCACTGCCATTACTATACCCTGCCCCTTCTCTTTCCTCTCTACTGCCACTTCTGCTCTTCCCTCATCCCCCTGCTTTCTTTTCCCTATTTCTTGCTCTTTTCTTCTCCTTTCTCAACCTTCCCTGTGTAATCAAGAAGGAACAGGGGAGTAGAGTGGCCATGGGACCCACCAGCTCTCACCGGACTAGTGGGAAGGCTTCCTGGTGGGTGAGCTGGGAGTCTGCCCGAGGGTGGTCTGCAGAGATGGGCCTGCTACCTTCCCCTTGGTCTGACTGATGCGGGGTGTAGAGGCTGGGCTGGGCTGGGGGCTGTCTGAGCCAGCCCTTTGTCTGCCCAGATCATCAAGAAGCAGTGCTGCTGGAGTGGGGCCCTGCGGCTGGGCTTCACAAGCAAGGACCCATCTCGCATCCACCCTGACTCGCTGCCCAAGTATGCCTGCCCCGACCTGGTGTCCCAGAGTGGCTTCTGGGCCAAGGCACTGCCTGAGGAGTTTGCCAACGAGGGTAACATCATCGCCTTCTGGGTGGACAAGAAGGGCCGTGTCTTCTACCGCATCAATGACTCCACTGCTATGCTCTTCTTCAACGGGGTCCGCACAGCTGACCCGCTCTGGGCCCTGGTGGATGTCTACGGCCTCACGCAGGGCGTCCAGCTGCTTGGTGAGTGCCACCCCCTCAGGCTGCTTAGGTTCAGGGCAAACTGCTCAGCCTCCAGGTGCTGTAGTGTGACACTGCTCGGTCCCATCAGGAGTGAGGGCCCCTTACCAACTGGTAGCGGCCCAGGGCCAAGTGGGCACAGGGGCCCTGGGAGCCTTGGTGTGAACTGCAGAGTGCCGACTGCATCCTTCCTCCAGGCCCACAGCTCTGACAGAGGGAGCCTGGGTGAGATGTTTGCTCTCTTCATGGTCTCAGACTATGCCCTTGAGCCATGCACAACCTTCAAGACCATGATTAGCAGCCTTGAGGACCGCCACCCCCAGGAAATAATGAATATTAATCATAGTAACCATAATTTATAGAGTGCTTATTATGTGCCAGGCACTTTGTTAGTGCCTGTTCTCATGGCAACCTAGGGAGGCAGATTCCATTATTGGACCCATACAGGGGAGACTCAAGCTCAGGGAGGTTGAGTAGCTGCCCCAGGAGACATAGCAGGTAAGGGGTAGAGCCGTCTCTCAGCCCTGAGTCTGTCCAACTCCAAAATGAACTCCTAATCCCTAGGCTCTGCAACCTCCCAGGAGGCTGTGTGCCAACCCCGACCCTAGTGCTTTTTTTAGGGATGTTTATAGGGGAGAGCAGAAAGCACTAGGGCGAGCTAAGACTCTTCCAGCTGCTCCCGGGCCCCCAGCATGAGGCTGTTTCAGGTAAGTGAGAGTGCCTTCCTGTAGGGGGCGATGAGGAGCATAAGAAGGCAGCCTAACTCGCAGAGGTATCAGGCTTCCCGACTGAGTAGGGGAAGGGGGAGGCAGAGGGAGATGGCACGCATGGGACCCTAAAATGCCAGGGCTAAAAGGGGCCACAAAAGGCTCATACTTCCCAGGGTCACACAGTGAGTTGGTGGCTGAGTTGGGACTAGAACCCTGGTCCCCTGACTTCCAGTCCAGGATTCTTCTCACCTTGTTATACTTGTGCACGTGAGCCAGTGTGTTTGCACGTGTGAGTGTGTGTGCAGGCACATAAACTCTAGGTGTAAACCAAGCCATTGGTGAACGGGCTCTGTCTCCATGCAAAGCCTGCATGCAACTCAGCTTCTTCACCTGCAAAATGGATTGATGGGAAGATTAAATGCAATTAAACAGTCTGTGAGTAAAGTGCCTGCCATCATCCTGGGTGCCAAGGAGATGCTGAACCAATACTCGTTCCTCCCATCTCCCATCCCTGCCCTCTTTCCCTACTATTGAGGTGGCTGAAAAACTTTTTTCCTTTTCGGACTTTAGAGCCTAGAAACAGTGAAGCTCTTCTTTTCAAAGCACCTTTATTTGAGTAAAGACAGTGAAAGGAAAAACAAAGATATGAGTAATTGTCAGAAGCCTTTCTGTTGTTGAGTTCCAAACATCAGGAGGCTGTTATTATTAACTAATAGTTTGGGAACCTTCTGTTTTCCAACTCAATAGAAGTGTTTCTACATTCACACTAAAGTGTTAAGAGCCCAAAACCAGCCTGTTGCTGGGTCAGCTCTTGAGGAAGGGAGCCCAGGCTGAGGAGGATTATTGGCTTTTCATTCCCTCTGTGAAATGGGTGCACCTGCGGGGCCTCTACCTGCCAGAGGCATAAAGGGTTATGCCCCCAGCCTGTAAAGTCCAACAGACCCAGGTTAGATCTTGGCCTCACCCTGTACTATCTGTGGGACTTCAGTTTCCTCATCTGTAAAAAGGGGGTAATAACTATTCTCGGGGTTCTCGTGAAGGATCACGTGAAGCAGTTGACCCACAGTCAGTAGTCAATTGCTGTCAGTCATTCCCACCCATCTTGGAGAGGGAAATTCTTAACCTCAAGTTAAGTGAACATCTTCCCATTGCTCAGATGTCCTCAGGGCCTGACATTTCAATCACTTGGGGCTCCAAGACTTGAGTTTGAGCTCCAGCCTGGCCATTTTTCTCTGAGCCTCAGTCTTCTCATCTGTACTGTGGTTGTGAATACTATGACTTGGCCCCGGACTCAGCCCAGGAGGTTTGAAGAAGGTAAGGGCAACATTCTTGCTTTTTCCTAAGCCAGGAATGCCCTTCCCCACAGCCCTCAAGGATCAAAATCCCACTCTGGTTTTAAGGCCCAGCTCAAAAGCTACCTCCTCCCTGAAGCCTCCCCAGGCAGAATTCTGTTCTCCCTCCTTGGTGTCCACTACATGGTGCCTGCACTCTCTCAGCACTGAGGCATTTGCTGCACCTCAGTTCATCCAGATCTCTGTTGCCCCCACAAGGTGGCGAGGGCTTTAAGGGAGGGGTCTATGTCTTACCCAGCCTGGTTCCTCGGTAGAATGGGATCTTGTGCCTGGCATGTGGGGGACGCTCAGTGATATTTGTGGGGTGGGTAGGGGAGAGTGGTGGGATGGATAAATGGGAGGACGAATGCCTTGTTGGAGAAAGGGGAGTGTGGGTGGGTAGGGAGTGGAGGTAGACACAGTTCTGCCCACAGACAGCCCCAGGCTCACTGTGAAATTAGGGAGACAAAGCAAACGCTCAAGACACAATCAGGGCATAATCCAAGAGAGGACAGTAAATCGCTAAGGGCTGTGGTCATAGGATCCCTCCATCTGCCAGAGATAACTTCCATCCGGTTAATCTCATTTAACCCTCCAGCAGCGGCCCCTGAGGGAGTGGTTTTTATCCCCATTTGGCAGGGAGAAAACTGAGGCCCATGGAAGATCTGGCTTGCCTGTGTAGGTCTGGGGCAAAACTAGGACATCTGTGGCAGAACTGGGACTTGAACTGGGTTTTCTAAATGCCAAAAGCAATGACTTTCCTGCTACCCCCCAGTGGGTTTAGGCATTAAGGGAGGCGGGAGGCCAGAGGAAGCTGAGGGAGGATATAATCCAGGAAGTCTTCTTGGAAGAGGGAACTTGGGTTTAGCCTACAAGTTCCAGGAGGGTCTGGGTTGGGGGGAATGAAGGAGAAATTCCAGGTGAAAGGAGGCTTCCAACCCTCAGGGGCCTGGAGAGTAATTTGAAGGACCCCCAACCCTGGGGCCAGAGCCCAGGTGGCCTGACTTGGCCTGGCCCCATTCCCCCTGTTTGACTATAAATGGATTTTCCTACAGTGTTTTCAGTTGCATTTGGATTTCCCAGTAGGCTTCTCTTTGGACACCCAATAAGGCCAAGATCCCAGCTGATTTCTGTCCCAGCTGTAAATCACCATAATCCCTGGGCATTTTCAAACACTGATGATGGCCCCTGAATTCAATTAGCAGATTAAAATATCTCTTCATTTTGTTCTTCCTAAATTGATTTTTTTTTTTTGTTAAAAAAAAACAAGGAGGTTCATCCAAGATGTCTTCTGAGGTGTGAGGTGGGCTTGCTGTGCTAAACCCTCATTCCCCGGCCCTGCCCTCTGGGATCCTGCCAGCTGCCTTATCTAGTCTACGGGTTGATTTCTTTCCTCTCCTTGTTCCTCTCTTCCCTACTTCCCATCTCTCCTGCCCCCCTCCGTTGCCTGCCACCTCAAGACATCTGTATCTTTCTGGGCCTCTCTCCCGCTGCTCCCTCTCTCTTCCTCCCCTGTGGCTGGGGGGGAGGTCTTTCTTTCTCTGCCCCGTGTCTGGCTGAGGCTCCCCCAGCGCCTCTCACTCTCCTGTCTTCCCAGCTGCTACCTCCAAGCTGCTCTCTCTTCTGAAGAAAGTAGCTTTCTGTCTTGGCGACCCTGACGATAGGCCAGCCTTTCCTAGGGTGACTGTCCCCCAAACCAGGGTCCGATCTTTAAGAATTTCCTGCTGAGCCCGTCCCCCTCCTCTCCTGTCTCTGTCTGGAACCATGGCCAAAGGCCTCCAAATCCCACCTGGTCTGTTATCTGCCCCTCAGACCGGAGGCTTCCCGGGATACATGGCCCATAGAGGTAAATGTAGGCAATGGAATGATCTGCCGTCTCCCCAGACAGGGAGGCAGGGGCTGGTGTCTCTCTGCAACTGGTACCTCCAGGCATGTACCCCATGCCTGCCCCCAATGTCCTGACCCTAATCCATGGTCCCAGCAGGCCAGCTTCAGGCCTTCTATGCTCCCTGTGGCCCCTGACATGCTGTAGTGTGGTAGATCACCCGCTTTCCTTGGGTGCCCTGGCCCAAGCCCGGGCTGGTATCTCCAAGAATAACAGCTTCCTACCTCCGGGAAGAAGGACTGCCAGCAACTAAATAAACACAAGTTTTATAGGGTGATTAATACTTGGAGAGATAAGCTCCTATCCCAAATTTTCAAGGTCTCCCTGCTCCTCTCAGAAATGTTGGCTCAGGAAGAGTAGCCATGGGTCCTAGCAGCAGGCTGGTGAGGCAAGACTCGCAAGACACCCCTGAGCACCTCTCTGTGCCCATCAGGGCCTGAGCACTATGCGGGGGCTTGGGGAGACAAAAGCATGTAAACCCAGCCTCTCTCCTTAAGGAGTGATTACACTGGGGGACATTCCACTGCAAGGTGGCCTACATCCAATTCTGCAGTTAAGTGTAGGCTGAGGAGTAAAACTAGGGGTGCAGCTGGGGAGCAATCCAGGAGGACTTCCTATAGGAGATGAATTTCAAGTTAGGAACAAAGGCAGGTGAAAAGAATGTATTGGTTGGGGAGGAACATTTTAGGCCAGACAGGAGGGGTGTGTGCAGTAGCAGTGAGAATTAGCAGTCAGAAGGGGAACCCAGGAGGCATAATGGTTAAGCACTCCACTGGCAGTTTGAACCCACCAGCTGCTCCATGGGAGAAAAAACCTGACGATCTGCTTCCATAAAGATTACAGCCCAGGAAACCCTACGGGCAGTTCTACTCTGTCCTGTAGGATCTCTTATGAGTTGAAATCAACTCCACGACACACAGCAACTTCCTGGGAAAGTGAGGGAGGGGGAGGGGAAAGGATGAGTGGAAGAATAATGGGTGACTTGTGGGGATAGGTGTGCACGCACATCACAGGGAAGAGAACCATGGGAATAGATAGTTTCCGGCAGCTTCTGTGTTTTCAGGTTCTTCAGTAGGA